ACAATTTTTTTATTATCGTTGTATGGTAGAAGATTTTGCAGTATGTATTTCAAAACTTCAAAAGGAGTGTACTCATTGATCTTAAATTCAATTGAGGGTTTCACAGCGTTAAAGTATTTGTGACATGCTAAATGATATTCATTCTGGTGTAATGTGTTTTGGAATGAAACAATGAGACAATTGCCTAATATTTATAGTAGTTATAGAAAATTATGGACCTCATAAATTCGATCTTGTACAAAGGGATGTTCCGGAAATACATCTTTGATATCACCATGTTATCTTAATCCGAATATGTATTTCTGGAACCTCTCAGAATTGAACGGAATTTTGTTCAACACAGAAACATAACATGTAATAAATGCATACTTTTTTTGACAAACTTCAAAATGTATATTTTAGACATCATTAGCATTAATACAATATTACATACAATAAGTTGATAAATAAAAACTAAAATGAACCAAAAGACTTATCACCGGATAAATCTATAACTAATGGGTGATAGCCCTTTTGATTTTTGTTTATTTGATTCTATTTCAATCTTGCTCAATTTGATGAACTCTTGCATCCTTTCAACAAAATGGTCCAGTTAAGTATCGACTTTGGTTGTTGAATGAGTTGTCCACTCTGGTGATGTAAGTGGAATATAACATCCAGGTTTCAAATAAACTCGAACAAAATGTTGCGAATTTGAAATCCTCCCATTACACATAGTACGATCATTTGGATTTTGAGGTTGAGTAGTGTGCAGTGGAAAAAATGTTTATGAGAAACAGTATCCTGTAAGATCAATACACACTTTATCATACGCACTTTTTATGAGATTACTCATTTCATGGAAGCACATCCATTTATCCTTCGATGCAGGTCCACTAATGCAAGAAATAAGAGAGTGATAAATTGCTTGAAAATTTTCTTTTTTTCTTGTATAATCGTGTGTATGATTCTTTATGCCACCTTAACTCTTGGATAAGTTGATGGAGGACAAGTGTGTTCCTATTCTTATTTTCTGAGCAAAGCAGAAACTGCTCAAAATCCGCAGTTACCGTCACCCTCTGAGTTGACGATCCGTTCAATGTATTTGTACATAAAAACCGACATCTCGTCAATGAATGGGATTTTTGCTAGAGGCGGTGAATGAGGTGGTTTGGTAATGCGAGCTCCTTTGAAAAAATATTTTTGATATTTAGGAGTTGGTGAATCCGGAAAAAGTTTGTAAAAATGTTCAAAATATGAAGGAGACCCCATCGTTGAATTGTCACTCGGTGTAGGTTTGACCTTCTTAGGAGCACCTTTTGTTTTTACTCGTTGAGAGGATGGTTTCAAGTCTATGGTTTCTGGATAATAAATATTCCTCAATTTCTCTTTGAAGTGGAGTTTCATGTTGTCGTCGGCTTTCAAAAATCTCTCTTGTATCACTTCCCATTCGATCAAGATATAAATATTCAATTTACTATTTTCATGACACCATCATCATCAAACCTGAGCCTTATCCAGTGCGTGAAAACTTCATCCATTTGCACCGGGCTATCAAATTTCACCTTTTTAGATATAAGACAAGCACATAGGAGACCATAGGTTTTCACAAGTGTGCAGCTGCACTTTGATCTATCAGAACCTACATTATCAGCTCTTTTGGCTTTGTGAAAAATATAATTCAGACCCGCTTGAGATATGTTGCTGACCAACTGAGAATAAAATTTTTTATGTTTGAATCTATGTTCTAACATTGTTATTCTATTATCAAGTGATGTTTGTATCTCATTATGCTGGTTTTAGATTATTTGGTCCACACAGACCCAATCTCTACACAAATCACCCTCACTATTTCCCACCAATTCTTCAGATTAGCATGAGCAGACTCAACTTGGTTTGTTGTTGTACTTATAAGGTGGCTAACTTGATTGGTCCCAGCACAAACAATCTTCTTCTTCACCTGGTCCAAAATTGTAATTTCAATATATTTCAACAAATCTGGATATTTCTCACACACCTTCTTGAAATGTATAACAACATAGGCATGTAACTTTTTTGTAGAAGAATTTATTATAATATTCCATGCATCCATTATTCTTCCACTCTGACACCCACCTTGACCATTTTTCTATCGTTCCCCTCAATATATTTCGTCCCTACCGCAGGTTAAACCCAAAATCTCACAATCTTTATTATGTGATGAAGGTTCACAAAAACACAAGAAATGGGGGGGGGGGGGGATTTGATTTGGGTTTCAAGATTTTATGCTTTATCTTGGTTCACCTTTAACTAGGCTACATCCAGTCCACCCTACCCAGGTGATTTTGCCTTATCAACAAGGACTTAATCCACTAAGAAAACACCCTTTGATTACAACCATAAAGACAAACCATCTAAGTCTTCTCAGGGATCCTGACTAAATATTTAGCCCCCCAAGGAAATTTAAACAACCTAGTTAACTTACAAAGATTTATGTTTATAGAATTCTTCTTAAAAATCTAATATACACAGTTACAATACTAAGAGATTACAAATAATGAAAGTTATGAGCCATCAATAAAATGACAACTTTCTTCTTTGTGTTGATGCTCGACTTTTTCTAAGTGTTTCTCTTAACTTATTTGTATATGATTTTTGCATTTCACATTTGTTGTTGTTGTTTTCCATGGCTTCAAACTCTCATTTATATAGATGAAAATAGATATGTTGGAGGTTGATGTTGGAATTTTGTAATCCACAACTTGCATGAAGACGTTGAGTAGTACAGTAGTAGAGTGGTGGTACAAGCATAACGTAAGGTGATGATGAGATGTATTGAAAAAGTTAGTACTGACAAATAGTCTTTTTGTCCCATCTCACAAGGTAGTGGAAATGATGTTGATTTGTACCCTTTTAATATTTTTCACACTATCTTTCTTCATATTAATCTCTTTGTATCAGAGGCTTCTAATAGAATTTGGTAAATATTGATCAGAGTCCAGGGTTATCATCTTTTCAATAACCAACTTATCTAAGGAAATCCAACTTTTCACATTCCTCCTTTGCTAGGGCATCAATATCCCTATGCCCTTTTTACTTGATTAACTATCATTGCCCTTATGAATATATCAGAGAGAACTCTTCCATATGGTATGAGGAAGGAAATCTCCCTTCTGGAGGCAATGATTATCTCCTTAACATAGTTAAAGATAGTAGAGGGAATATCAATGTAAACATTGTACAACAGGAAGTACATGAAATGTTTGGCCTCGTAAGTCAAGAAATTCACTCCCTTCTCTCTGGGACATAGGTTGGCCATCAAAATTTGATGCCAAGGTCTTGCCTCTGAACAGAGAGTCGCTGGAAAATTGATCATGTCAAAATTGTTGTAGATGTCATAGATTAGAGATTTATAGAAGGTAACCTGTAATGTTTGACGGTTGAACCTCTCTCCTTGCAATCAATTACAACAATAATGGAGGTAGTAGTGATTTTTATGGGAAATCCATAAAAATCCATTCTATTGTGCCCAATGGATGCATAAAACCAGAATTCTTTTACAAGATTCAGATAAATGAAACCATTCAGCATAGTAAAATAATTTACCCATTTTTGTTTAAGGACTTTCTTTAACATATCAAATCCCTGCAATTTCAAATCAGAAAGTTGACAACCTTTTTATTGATCACAAAAAGGAGTTCTTCATCACCTAGAAATATTTTAGAAGGCATTTTGAAAGTATGAGATAAAAAAAGAGAATAAGAGTGAGGGAAGTGAAAGTGAAAGATTGAGATGGAGAAAGAAGAGTTTAAATAGGAAATAAGAGAAGAGTAAGAGACGGTCAAAAATATTTGGTTCAGATAAACAACGAATGGAAATTAAGACTAGACATTTTGAAAACGCCCATAATCATAAATAGTAATACACAAAAAATTAATGACTTATAGAAGTGGTGAGATGATAATCACGTCCGTTCCAAAGACATATTGCAGTCCAAAAGTCTTATCAAATATTTGTATATCTGCATGTGTGACAACTGTTATACATCAGAGTCTAAACTATTTACTCATGATTTTTGATTTTCCTTATATCTTAGTCATCAGATTTTATCAATTTAGAATCTGACTAAGATTATTTCTGAGTAATACAAAATTTTATGTCTAGAAGGATAACACTTTAGATTTCGTTTTCCAAAGTCTTACATTACACATTCAGAGGCCAAAACTATTTTCTCATTCTTGCCACAGTTCCATGTTAAGGATTTTCAAAATAAATATGAATCTATCCTCATCAAGGGGTTTTGTAAAGATATCAGCCTTTTGATGATATGTACCAATAATTTAAAATTAAAAATGCCCTTTTGAACATAATCTCTTATAAAATAATATTTGATCTCAATATATTTTTCCCTTGAGTGTAAGATAGGATTCTTGAACAAACAAATGGCTGAAGTGTTATCACACAGAATATGAATCTTATCTTCTTTGATTTGACATGGGATTGTCTCCAAATGTGTTACCCTATTATGCTCTGATGAAGTTGGATTATGAAAGGGTTGTGTTAAGACCAAGTGATTTGGTAGTGAGGGCTTTTGATGGATATAAGAGATTAGTGTTTGGTAAGGTTGACCTACCTATGAAGATAGGACCTAAAGATTTCAATATAACATTATTTGTGATGGACATACTTCCCGCTTATTTTTGTCTGTTGGGACGCCCCTGAATTCATGGGGCAGGTATCGTGACTTCCACGTTGCACCAGAGGCTTAAAATTGTGATTAATGGAAAGGTTGTTACCATCTGTGGTGAGGAGGATTATGTCAAGAGCCATTTGAGTTCATTTCGTTATGTGGAAATTGAAGGTGAAGTGCACGAGACTCCATTTTAGGCATTTGACGTTGTCAAAGTTGTTAAGCTAGGGGTTAGAGTGTTAGAGCTTCCAATTAAGAAGGACAATTTTAGTTTGGGGTTTAAAGATGGTAAAAATGTGCAGGTGGTTGTGTCTTGTTTTTATTTTCTAGGTTTTAGGTAGTAATTGGTTTTTCATATTTCACATATGAGGGTGCATATCTCAGCCTCAAGCCTATCAATCTTGACATTGGCTTCATCTCTTTCAATCATTACCATATACAGCTCCTTAGTCACAGCTTCTATATCTTCTGTTCTCTTGCCAAGTTCTTCCCACAAATAATTGTTTTCATCTTGCAAAACTACTTGTTGAGTAGCATGTAGCTCTTCTTGCTTCAACTTTTCAGCTTCATATTGCCTTAACTTGTTTTCCAATTCTTTGTTTCTAAACACACAATTGGCCAATGTAGAGGTCAGTTCTATTTTCGTTTTCAACAAACATGCAATAGCAAAATGCAACTCATCTTTCTCCAAAGAAAAGTTATCATGTGAATCAAGCATTTTAGATTCCAATTTTTGCACCTCTTGCTCATATATTATAACCAAGTTTTCTAGTATTTCAATATGCTTTCTCCCTGAAACTAACTCCAAATCTGATTCAGCCATATTTTCTTTTGCCTCTATAAGCTGACCATGCAATTCATGATTCTCACATGACTTATTCTCAAGTTCCTTCCTTAAAATTGTATTTTCATCTTCTGATTTCTTGAGCTTTTCATTAGCTATCTCTAGCTGTTTCACCAATTTTGAAATTTCGTGATCATGTTTTTTGGCCTCACTTTCCTCAATTTGAGCCTTCAATTTGTAAATCTCTATTTCAGAAAACTCTTTCAGATTATGCAACTCTTCCTCCATCCACTTCAATTCTCCCCACAAATCATCAACCTGGTTTTCACTATTCTCAACTTGATCCTTCAATTTGATAATCTCTTCTTCCAAATGCGTGACATGTAAGTTCATAACTTTCTCATCATAACTTGTTTTATCCATCTCCCACAATAAACCATCATCGAAAGACCGGTTTTGTATCATACCAAGATAGTCCAATTCTCCTGAGAGGCTCAAACATTTTTCACTTTCACGTCTGGAACCCCACGATGATAAAGGTGATTTGCAACCCTCCTTCTTAAAAGACGCAAAGCTTTTATTAGTACTATCAGCGCTAGGAGATGAATGAGACGAATGAATATCAAAAGATTCAAGGTCATACTTCACCAACATATTGCTCTCTTCCATTTCAGATTCTATGATAAAATTCAATGATTAGAATTCTGCAATCCATATTACTAAAATAAACACAATACAAATTCTAATCTTATTCTTCTATTTTCACTACTTTCTTCAAACGTGAATTACAAAAAATAAGAATTATAGAAAGTGAGAACTGAATACACATGTTAAGAAATCAAATAGTAATAAGTAGTAATAATGAAAAAGAGATTAGATACGTTAATGATACATACCTGATGAGAGATAATGACGAAAAATGGAGTATGTTCAATTTAATTAATGGGTTGTGAGTTGCGTTAGGGTTGGATGGAATTTTATAAGAAGATTTTTGAGTTGGGTTAGGATTTGATGGAAATTTATTGTGCGTTGATTTTAAATATTTTAAAAGATTGAAAACAGCAGCGGTTACAAATATGAATCTTAGCATGACAAGAGGAATATAGTTAAACCTAGTAACAAACCAATTCCACTTGCATTTTGAGACCCACGTGGGGTATTGAAATTTTTTTAAAGTAAAATTAAATTTCATAGATTTTGATTTTGTATAATATAAAATTATTATAATTGGGACTTTTAAGTAATATTAGATTATACAGATTTTAATTTTGTTTGATAAACATTATAATTGAGACTTTTAAGTAGTATTAAATTATATAGTTTTCTATTTTATCCTTGCTCAAAAGACTTTGAGGCGCACATTAATGCATTAATGAAGTTGTTGAGAACATCTATTGTCTCTTAATATATCTCTATAAACCAATTTGAGAATGTTGTTGCTAGCATTACTACTAGTAACAACCTGGGTTTCACTGGATTTGACTTGTCTCCCGAGGGGAGAAAACATAACAAAGCTTTACACATCCCCATGGAGATTGCAGGAACAACTTTATCTCGTTTGGTGGTTGACATGGGATTGTCTCCAAATGTGTTACCCTATTATGCTCTGATGAAGTTGGATTATGAAAGGGTTGTGTTAAGACCAAGTGATTTGGTAGTGAGGGCTTTTGATGGATATAAGAGATTAGTGTTTGGTAAGGTTGACCTACCTATGAAGATAGGACCTAAAGATTTCAATATAACATTATTTGTGATGGACATACTTCCTGCTTATTTTTGTCTATTGGGACGCCCCTGAATTTATGGGGCAGGTGTCGTGACTTCCACGTTGCACCAGAGGCTTAAAATTGTGATTAATGGAAAGGTTTTTACCATCTGTGGTGAGGAGGATTATGTCGAGAGCCATTTGAGATCATTTCTGTTGTACCCCAAAATTTTCCCTCCCATATTCTTCAAGATTTGCCAAGATCAATCTCCAGATGGTTCAAAATCTCTCAAGGGTTGCACAGTCCAATTGCCTCCTAACACAGTCAAAATTAGGGTTTTGGTTTTGGCAAAGAAATTAAGGTTTCCAAGGGTCCAATCAAGTCCCACATGCCTACATACATTGTCAAGCATCCATATGCCAAGTTTCAAGACTCACAGCATCAAATTGCACAGTCAAAAACCCCAAATGCTCCACAGTCAACTGCAGGGGCAAAATGGTCATTTGATAGTCAAAAGTCAAAATTTTTGGTCAACATCTTATTTTGAAGCCACAAACATCATTTGATCAATTCTTGATCATGATTTCACAAGCATGGCTCAAAAGGTCTCAAGATGCAAAAGTTTCTATTTTTGGACAGTTGAAAAAGTCAACTGCAAATTGACCAGGGCATAACTTCTTCATGGTTCATCAGAAAAATTCCATCCAAAGCTCATTTTGAAGAGAATGACATTTCCTACAACTCATCTTCACACTTCAAGTCCAATAAATGCTTTCACAAAAAGTTATCAACTTCAACATTATAGGTCATTTTCAAAAGTCAACAAAAAGGCACTTTAAGTCAAAGACCATAACTTGGGATTGGTAAATCCAAATGACATGGGACCAAAGACATTCGTTAGAGGACTTCAAGACCTTTCCAAAATGTCCAAGAACATGATCATAGCTTCAAAATTGAGCAAGATATGCCTTGGAGAAGTTGGGAAATTTTTGAGAATTTTGAAAAGTCAACTTTGCTTCATAAGCTTCAAAAATGCTAATGGGCCTCAAATTCTTCCATGAATCATTACCCAAAGGCTATGCAAGACCCATTAAGCTCAAAATGATTTATTTTCTTATTTTTAATTAATTAATTGAATTATTATTATTATTAATTCATTTAATTAGATTTAAATATGAGAAAAATATCAAATAATGGTTTTAAATCTTTTTTGTGCAGCAAATAGGTTCATTATACACAAGAGATTTCGTGCATCAATCAACAAGGCAATATCTTCCACAATTGGCAAGGATTTGCATGAAAAAAGATTGAAAAAAGATATGGAAAAATCAAATATTGAAATCATGAATTCATGGACCTTGGGCTTGTTTTCTTGACCTAATTTCATTCAGATACTTATACACAAGCTAATCCTATTCCAAGACACACGAAAAACTGCTCAGAAAGGCATAACCAAATTGCAACTTTTCATCAAAATTTTGAAATCTGAAATCATATTTGCAGGGCATTTCAAAGCATAACAAGTATTCCATTGCGTTGCTAGACCTTCCAGGAATTGATTGCAATCAAGAACACGCTTCCACACTCAAAGAAACGGTAGAACAACATCGTGCTTGTCACAAACATGTCCATAATCGTTTTTTAATTTTCATGCATTATTCACATGTTTTATTTGTTGATTCACACTAATAATGATGTTCTGAAGCGAATGGTACCATTTAATTGAACTAACGATGCTTGTATCCAAATCTACCATTGTTGAAACCTAGGGTTTCAGAAACTCCCAATTAGGGGTTTTCACATATGGCAAAATTAGACCTTCAAACCGGTGCAGATTAAATCGTGACTACAATACGAATTCAATGAGGCAATCGCGCCCTTTTTATATTGAGGCATGTTCTAATCGCTATTTTTTCAGATTTCATTTAGTGGGGGTTTAAAACCCCCGCTACTTATTTTGTGTTTTGCAGAAAGAATGAAGAAGACGCTGAGGTGTCCAGATATGGTTGGGGCATTCAAAAAAACTGGCGCGTTTTTCTTGTTGTATATCATTAATTTTTGTTTTGTATTATATTATTTGTGTTCCATTACATTAACAAATGCACGCAACAACTCGGTTGGTGGATGAGGTGTCCTACAGGTATTGGGACCTGGGTTCGATTCCCAGGTCTCCCACTTAATTCATAAATTTTGTCTCAATGTATTCCTATGCAGCATTCAATCAAAGGTTCACCATACACGCATATGCTAAGGCCTGACAAGTGGCTTCAAGGACCAATCTGAAGGCCAGAACGTGCAGTCCATGGTACACGCTAGTCAACCACTCCACACGTGATCCCAAGAAGTCAAAAAAGGCTTTGTTCTGATGGGCCAAAAATACTTCAAAGACCTCCCTTTGGGGCCTGACACCCCCCTGGTTTGCACTTTCTTTTTAATTTTAATTCTTTTCAATTTTAATTCTTTTAATTGTTTTTTTAATTGTTTCTTTAATTTCATAAGATAATTTTCTATAAAAAAAATCAGAAACTAAAATATGTTTAATTAATATTTAATTCACTATTAATTTATTTTGTAAATAAACTCTAACCATTAATTTAGTAAATTAGGTTTTAAACTTCAATCTTTTTTAATAAATAAAATAAGTAGAATTAGGGTTTTTGACCTTTTCATCTATTTTCTTAATAAATAATTTTTTCTCATTATTATTATTAATTACTAAATATTTTTGTAAATAAACATGTAATTTAATTAATTAGCATAAATTAGGTTAACTTTAATATTTTTCATTAATAATTAAAAATAATCTAGAATTAGGGTTTCCTTGTAAATTCTTTATTTTCATAAATACAAAAAACATAAAAACAATTTCTTTTCTTAATTAAATAATTACTTAGCTTTTTAATTCCATTTAATTTCAAAAGGATCAAAACCCTCGGACATTCGATTCTAATTTCTTTCCGCGCATTATCTTCCTTCGAATATTATGTAACTGCTCGAGGCTTGTAATAGTAATTAGGTCTTTTTACTTTCCGCATTTTTATTAAAACGGGTCTTTGTAATTTGGCGATGTATAGACCCGCGCCTTGTAATAGCGTAGGATTTATCTTCCCGCATTTAAATTTCCGCACTTTTAAATTCTAATTGCATGAAAGAATGTATGGCTAATTAAAAACAATGCGTAGCTCACAAATGCCATGATCAAAGATAATTGTTAACCTGAAAACAACACACAAATTCACACACCACTTCTAGGGTACGCCTCACCTGTTGCCTTCGAAACGTGGTCGTCAAGTATAGGACGTTTTAGTAAGTCCTTATGTCCATTGATCTAGTTGCCTCGAAATAAGTTGCCTCGAAACGATTGCCTCGGAACAGTTGCCTCGAAACGGTTGCCTCGGAATAAAAAAAGGATCAATGGCATAAGGGTAGCTTCTAAGGTGTCCTACTGTTGCTCTGGTGACCACACTGTCCCTACAAACGAATTAACCCGAACACCTCCAACGGTGGTGCTACCTACCTCTCAATGGTGGGATGGCACTACCTTAAGGACATTTACACAGTCTAATTCCTTAGGGTAGGTAGATGACTCGTAGATACTTGCTCTATTCAAAAACAAATCAAAACTCTTTTCACACCGACACTTTCAAAAAAGCTTTCAAAACAATTTTTCAAACACTCTTGAGGACTGATACAAGAGTCATTCTGAAATCTTTAAACGAAACTTTTTCAAACCCACTCACATTTTGAAAAGCAAACATTTTGAAAACACAATGAGCAAGTATCTAAGATCCCATGGATAACCATGGATAGAAAGGGTGCTAACACCTTCCCTTTCTATAAATCTACCTCCCGAACCGAGAAACTATCTCATAAGGAATTTTGCTGTGCTTTTGTCCTGTCCATGTTGGAGAAAATAAAAGACGGTGGCGACTCTTGCTTCCGCGACATTTCGCGAACCAACTTTAAACAGTCAGTTCTAAATCCACCGATCACAATTTCGTTATGTGGAAATTGAAGGTGAAGTGCACGAGACTCCATTTTAGGCATTTGAAGTTGTCAAAGTTGTTAAACTAGGGGTTAGAGTGTTAGAGCTTCCAATTAAGAAGGACAATTTTGGTTTGGGGTTTAAAGATGGTAAAAATGTGCAGGTGGTTGTGTCTTGTTTTTATTTTCTAGGTTTTAGGTAGTAATTGGTTTTTCATATTTCACATATGAGGGTGCATATCTCAGCCTCAAGCCTATCAATCTTGACATTGGCTTCATCTCTTTCAATCATTACCATATACAGCTCCTTAGTCACAGCTTCTATATCTTCTGTTCTCTTGCCAAGTTCTTCCCACAAATAATTGTTTTCATCTTGCAAAACTACTTGTTGAGTAACTTGTAGCTCTTCTTGCTTCAACTTTTCAGCTTCATATTGCCTTAACTTGTTTTCCAATTCTTTGTTTCTAAACACACAATTGGCCAATGTAGAGGTCAGTTCTATTTTCGTTTTCAACAAACTTGCAATAGCAAAATGCAACTCATCTTTCTCCAAAGAAAAGTTATCCCGTGAATCAAGCATTTTAGATTCCAATTTTTGCACCTCTTGCTCATATATTATAACCAAGTTTTCTAGTATTTCAATATGCTTTCTCCCTGAAACTAACTCCAAATCTGATTCAGCCATATTTTCTTTTGCCTCTATAAGCTGACCATGCAATTCATGATTCTCACATGACTTATTCTCAAGTTCCTTCCTTAAAATTGTATTTTCATCTTCGAATTTCTTGAGCTATTCATTAGCTATCTCTAGCTGTTTCACCAATTTTGAAATTTCGTGATCATGTTTTTTGGCCTCACTTTCCTCAATTTGAGCCTTCAATTTGTAAATCTCTATTTCAGAAAACTCTTTCAGATTATGCAACTCTTCCTCCTTCCACTTCAATTCTCCCCACAAATCATCAACCTGGTTTTCACTATTCTCAACTTGATCCTTCAATTTGATAATCTCTTCTTCCAAATGCGTGACATGTAAGTTCATAACTTTCTCATCATAACTTGTTTTATCCATCTCCCACAATAAACCATCATCGAAAGACCGGTTTTGTATCATACCAAGATAGTCCAATTCTCCTGAGAGGCTGAAACATTTTTCACTTTCACGTCTGGAACCCCACGATGATAAAGGTGATTTGCAACCCTCCTTCTTAAAAGACACAAAGCTTTTATTAGTACTATCAGCGCTAGGAGATGAATGAGACAAATGAATATCAAAAGATTCAAGGTCAGACTTCACCAACATCTTGCTCTCTTCCATTTGAGATTCTATGATAAAACTCAATGATTAGAATTCTGCAATCCATATTACTAAAATAAACACAATACAAATTCTAATCTTATTATTCTATTTTCACTACTTTCTTCAAACGTGAATTACAAAAAATAATAATTATAGAAAGTGAGAACTGAATACACATGTTAAGAAATCCAATAGTAATAAGTAGTAGTAATGAAAAAGAGATTAGATACGTTAATGATACATACCTGATGAGAGATAATGACGAAAAATGGAGTATGTTCAATTTAATTAATGGGTTGTAAGTTGCGTTAGGGTTGGATGGAATTTTATAAGAAGATTTTTGAGTTGGGTTAGGATTTGATGGAAATTTATTGTGCGTTGATTTTAAATATTTTAAAAGATTGAAAATAGCAGCGGTTACAAATATGAATCTTAGCATGACAAGAGGAATATAGTTAAACCTGGTAACAAACAAATTCCACTTGCATTTTGAGACCCACGTGGGGTATTGAAATTTTTTTAAAGTAAAATTAAATTTCATAGATTTTGATTTTGTATAATATAAAATTATTATAATTGGGACTTTTAAGTAATATTAGATTATATAGATTTTAATTTTGTTTGATAAACATTATAATTGAGACTTTTAAGTAGTATTAAATTATATAGTTTTTGATTGTTTAATATAAAAGCATTATAATTGAGACTTTTAAGTAGTATTAAATTATTGAAGGAATTTATTAATTCACTATATGTATTCTATATGTATTATTTGTCCACCACATGAAAATATAATAATGTTTTTGAATTTTGAAGATGTATCTTTAAATGCACAAAAAAATAAAAAATAAAAAATTAAAATTGAATCTGAAAAACGCCTCAGATTTGTGGTTATGTGGCATTCATAAATGCATCTCCGTAAATAATACGGAGTTGCATTTCTATATTAGTCTGAAGCAGTAGCAAAAAAGCAGAAAAACTAGAAACATGTCGGTTGACAAAATAAAAATTTCAATGATAACATAAAAAATATTACATAGGTGATGTTAGCACAGATCAAACATTACTTTTCAATATTTCGTGGACGTTGCAATATCTTCATAATATCTTTGATTGATTTCAAAATCGTCGCATACAACTCAATCGAAAAATTTGTTTCTACGTGAAAAAAGTGTTCTACATAACCCTTAAATCTGCACCTGCCTTCAGCTCAAAGTTGATGTACTCAATCTTCTCTTCGTTGTCAACGGACGGTGAATGATACTCTGATCTTCACAATTTTTTTATTATCGTTGTATGGTAGAAGATTTTGCAGTATGTATTTCAAAACTTCAAGAGGAGTGTACTCATTGATCTTAAATTCAATTGAGGGTTTCACAGCGTTAAAGTATTTGTGACATGCTAAATGATATTCATTCAGGTGTAATGTGTTTTGGAATGAAACAATGAGACAATTGCCTAATATTTATAGTAGTTATAGAAAATTATGGACCTCATAAATTCGATCTTGTACAAAGGGATGTTCCGGAAATACATCTTTGATATCACCATGTTATCTTAATCCGAATATGTATTTCTGGAACCTCTCAGAATTGAACGGAATTTTGTTCAACACAGAAACATAACATGTAATAAATGCATACTTTTTTTTGACAAACTTCAAAATGTATATTTTAGACATCATTAGCATTAATACAATATTACATACAATAAGTTGATAAATAAAAACTAAAATGAACCAAAAGACTTATCACCGGATAAATCTATAACTGATGGGTGATACCCCTTTTGATTTTTGTTTATTTGATTCTATTTCAATCTTGCTCAATTTGATGAAATCTTGCATCCTTTCAACAAAATGGTCCAGTTAAGTATCGACTTTGGTTATTGAATGAGTTGTCCACTCTGGTGATGTAAGTGGAATATAACATCCAGGTTTCAAATAAACTCGAACAAAATGTTGCGAATTTGAAATCCCCCCATTACACATAGTACGATCATTTGGATTTTGAGGTTGAGTAGTGTGCAGTGGAAAAAATGTTTATGAGAAACAGTATCCTATAAGATTAATACACACTCTATCATACGCACTTTTTATGAGATTACTCATTTCATGGAAGCACATCCATTTATCCTTTGATGCAGGTCCACTAATGCAAGAAATAAGAGAGTGATAAATTGCTTGAAAATTTTCTTTTTTTCTTGTATAATCGTGTGTATGATTCTTTATGCCACCTTAACTCTTGGATAAGTTGATGGAGGACAAGTGTGATCCTATTCTTCTTTTCTGAGCAAAGCAGAAACTGCTCAAAATCCGCAGTTACCGTCACCCTCTGAGTTGACGATCCGTTCAATGTATTTGTGCATAAAAACCGACATCTCGTCAATGAATGGGATTTTTGCTAGAGGCGGTGAATGAGGTGGTTTGGTAATGCGAGCTCCTTTGAAAAAATATTTTTGAGATTTAGGAGTTTGTGAATCCGGAAAAAGTTTGTAAAAATGTTCAAAATATGAAGGAGACCCCATCGTTGAATTGTCACTCGGTGTAGGTTTGACCTTCTTAGAAGCACCTTTTGTTTTTACTCGTTGAGAGGATGGTTTCAAGTCTATGGTTTCTGGATAATAAATATTTCTCAATTGCTCTTTGAAGTGGAGTTTCATGTTGTCGTCGGATTTCAAAAATCTCTCTTGTATCACTTTCCATTCGATCAAGATATAAATATTCAATTTACTATCTTTCATGACACCATCATCATCAAACCTGAGCCTTATCCAGTGCGTGAAAACTTCATCCATTTGCACCGGGCTATCAAATTTCACCTTTTTAGATATAAGACAAGCACATAGGAGACCATAGGTTTTCACAAGTGTGCAACTGCACTTTGATCTATCAGAACCTACATTATCAGCTCTTTTGGCTTTGTGAAAAATATAATTCAGACCCGCTTGAGATATGTTGCTGACCAACTGAGAATAAAAATTTTTATGTTTGAATCTATGTTCTAACATTGTTATTCTATTATCAAGTGATGTTTGTATCTCATTATGCTGGTTTTAGATTATTTGGTCCACACAGACCCAATCTCTACACAAATCACCCTCACTATTTCCCACCAATTCTTCAGATTAGCATGAGCAGACTCAACTTGGTTTGTTGTTGTACTTATAAGGTGGCTAACTTGATTGGTCCCAGCACAAACAATCTTCTTCTTCACCTGGTCCAAAATTGTAATTTCAATATATTTCAACAAATCTGGATATTTCTCACACACCTTCTTGAAATGTATAACAACATAGGCATGTAACTTTTTTGTAGAAGAATTTATTATAATATTCCATGCATCCATTATTCTTCCACTCTGACACCCACCTTGACCATTTTTCTATCGTTCCCCTCAATATATTTCGTCCCTACCGCAGGTTAAACCCAAAATCTCACAATCTTTATTATGTGATGAAGGTTCACAAAAACACAAGAAATGGGGGGGGGGGGGGATTTGATTTGGGTTTCAAGATTTTATGCTTTATCTTGGTTCACCTTTAACTAGGCTACATCCAGTCCACCCTACCCAGGTGATTTTGCCTTATCAACAAGGACTTAATCCACTAAGAAAACACCCTTTGATTACAACCATAAAGACAAACCATCTAAGTCTTCTCAGGGATCCTGACTAAATATTTAGCCCCCCAAGGAAATTTAAACAACCTAGTTAACTTACAAAGATTTATGTTTATAGAATTCTTCTTAAAAATCTAATACACACAGTTACAATACTAAGAGATTACAAATAATGAAAGTTATGAGCCATCAATAAAATGACAACTTTCTTCTTTGTGTTGATGCTCGACTTTTTCTAAGTGTTTCTCTTAACTTATTTGTATATGATTTTTGCATTTCACATTTGTTGTTGTTGTTTTCCATGGCTTCAAACTCTCATTTATATAGATGAAAATAGATATGTTGGAGGTTGATGTTGGAATTTTGTAATCCACAACTTGCATGAAGACGTTGAGTAGTACAGTAGTAGAGTGGTGGTACAAGCATAACGTAAGGTGATGATGAGATGTATTGAAAAAGTTAGTACTGACAAATAGTCTTTTTGTCCCATCTCACAAGGTAGTGGAAATGATGTTGATTTGTACCCTTTTAATATTTTTCACACTATCTTTCTTCATATTAATCTCTTTGTATCAGAGGCTTCTAATAGAATTTGGTAAATATTGATCAGAGTCCAGGGTTATCATCTTTTCAATAACCAACTTATCTAAGGAAATCCAACTTTTCACATTCCTCCTTTGCTAGGTGTGATACGGTGGGAGAACTGACTAGTGTTTTGCGTTCGTATTCGCACTTGTGCGGTTGAGCAAGAGTCGCCACCGACTTTTTATTTTATCCTAAAGGAAAGGTTAAAAAAGCACAGCAAAAACCTTTTGAGATATTTCGTGGGTTCGGGGGGTAGATTATGAAAAGGGAAGGTATTAGCACCCTTTTCATCCATGGTTATCCATGGGCTCTTAGGTACTTGCTTAGATCAATCTTGCCTTGGTTTTCAATTGTATGAAATGGTGCTTTGTGTGTTGTTTTGAAAATGTTTTGAAAATATGCCTTGTGCTAGGCTAACCTTGTAACAATTCTTTACTCGAATGTTTTACAAAAGGTGTTTTATCTTTTAAAAAGATGTTTCAAGGGTTTGAAAAGTTTGATTTTTGAAAGTGTTTGTGAAGTGGGTTTTGAAATTAGGCAAGTGTTTTCTTTGCAAATTGACAAGTACTTAAGAGTTTATCTACCCTAAAGCTTTTCTCAAAGATTTTCGTCGTGTTTTAACCCCTTTGACAATTTTGTTCTACCATTGAAATTGGTAGGCAATCTTGTATTTAGGAAGTTTATTCGGGACGGGCGTGGGTCATCGTATGGACCATGAATGCAATGATGCCAAGTGTCTTTGGAAATTTGTTTTGAAGGGACTATGATCATTCCATTTAGACAACATTTTGAGGGACTTATGATCATTTGCTTT